ACCTCGGCTAAATGGAGCTTGTAGATATTTCTTGTGATTTCTTGTCAACTACAGGCTTAAGTTCTGTCTAGTCTGGATATAATTGTCGATGCTGATGATGGTTTAGTGGCCTAAGCACAGCGGCCAATGGCATTATCTGACGGGGTCTTATTCTGGATGGATAGTTCAGTATTCCGACTAGGTCATTGGTCGCTGTCTCTTTTTTTTCTTTCTTTCTTTCTTTCTGCAAGCAACTAGGTAATTGTTCCTTTTTTTAATTTTCTTTCCGCAAGCAACTCAGTAATTGCTTCTTCTTTTTTTCTAGGTTATCAGTCATTGATTCTTTTTTTCTTTTTTTCGGCAAGCAACTAACTGATTTCTGAATGATGTGTAAAATTTTAATTTGGCACACTTATACATTCAACTTAATTTTTTTTTCTGAAAAAAGAAAAGAAAAAGCACATATTTACAATAATACCACATCAAACAGTGCCATGCATCTGCACTTCTCATGTATATTCTTGTAAGACTGAACTTAGACCAGTTCCAAGTAAATCTCAAAAACAACCTGCAAGTTTTATGGCAATTTGTTAACCATTGCCAGATTGGAAAGCATAGATGACTTAGTATCTTGATGTATCAATCTACTGACATTGATACATGATTGTGGACTTCCTCTTTACTTTGTACAGATTACTCTTTGTTAGTTATTTTAGGTGTTTTTTTATGATAATTACTCCTTTTCTCTATCACTGTGCAGTCCTGTTATAAATGACTACCAAACATTTAATGGCAGTTGAAAACATGATATAGGATAAAAAATAAATAAAAGCAGTTGATTTTATTTTATTTTTAAATGTTTTAAGATAGTACTACACTTTCAACAATACAAAGTTTCGATATATTTTAAGATAATACTACACTTTCAACAATACAAAGTGTTGATATATTTTAAAATAATACTACACTTTCAACAATACAAAGTGTTGATATATATTAAGATAATATTACATTTTCAACAATACAAAGTGTTAATTTAAATAATAACTTAATGTTTGTGTATTTTTACCCATAATCTCGTTTTACTACCTTTCCTTAGTTGTGATGGGTCTACCCTTGTTGTATCAGACCTAGTTGGACTACAGCAGCTCGCCCTGTACGATGCAACGCCGTTTCTTCAGGAGGGCAAGGTAGAGCTGATCCTTAAGGGCCGGATCCAGACCAGCTCCCCTCCTATATACTGGGACCTCTGGAATGGTTTTGTAAGTAATCTGTAATGTATATAGATTGTTCTGAGACAGGGGAATGATGTTTTAAGAATAGTAAAAAAAAAGTGAATATGGCTTGTGGGTTTGCAGTTGGATTTTTTTTCTACATATGTACAGTGATACCACAGTTGGAAAACTATTGATGTGTTGGAAAACTTAACTACAGTATTAATGAAGTTACTAATTATATGGATTAAACTTGGAACTTCTAACTGAAGAATGGCAATAGAAAGAAAAAGAAAAAAAAAAGAAAGAAAGTAAAAGAAAAAAAAAGAAAGAAAGAAAAAGAAAAAAAGAAAAGAAAGAAAGAAAGAAAAAGAATATATGATATCAAGGAAAAGAAACACAATTGATGCAGAAAGAGATGGTAATTAATGTATTGTATTCCCAGGTAACAGCAGTGGTATCAGGTGGTTACGTCTCCTCATACACTGTGACGGGAAATCTAGTCGCAGAATCTCCTCTCTATAAGGACTTGCGGTATCCTAATCCTACTATTCTTACCAGAGGTCTTGTCTTCGCCTCCACAATCACATCAAGAACTCTGCTGTGTAAGTTTTGGATGTACGGTAGATGAATTAGTTATGTATTGTCATTTGTAAATGTTCATATTTGACATTACAGGAGTTTGTCTTGTATTATCTGATAGTGAAAGGGTAGAGCATCTTTATCAGACTTCCTAAATTATTTTGACATCACCTAAGCTCTAAGAATTAAAGGAGTTCTGAGGGTAGTGATGAATGCAGTAAAATAATAGAAATCAAAGGCTCCTTTTTAAGACAAGGAACAAAATATCTTAGATAATATCTTATCTTAATCATCATTAAAAATTCCAACACATATTAGATTTACTGTTTTGTCTAAGTCTAGAAGCACCATTGTTGTATTAATACTAATTTATTCATATAGTGTAGAATAAATAGTTTCTTAAACAAGGTAACAGTGTAGTGAACTAAGATCACCAGAGTAAAGAATTTCTTCAAGATTATGTCATGCTACAATTGATGTATAAAATAAATTCGCTCTACATAAGTCAAACTAAAAGATATTGGATTTTCACACCCTTAAAAATACTGTTTTGTGAAATTTATTATAGAAAAAAAAGGTTCTTATTGCACACTGAATTGTCTTCCATGATATTTTCTGTAAAAGAATATTAGCGTATCAAATTAGCATTTAGAGTGAGAAAGCCTTGGTGATATAGTCAATATTTGAAGTTTCTACAGGAAATATATGCATTAATAATGTTAGATTTTCAAAAACATATATCAGTCCTTTTGAACCCTCAACTTATTTTGACTTTTGGAAGTATTTTCCAAGCTTCTGGATATCATCATAAAATTACTTTTAGATATAGTAAGCATAGTTTATCAATATTCACATCTCGTCAAACTTTTCCTGCTTTATAATTAATATTATAATTCCCACAACAGCGTGCATGAATATAGTTGGCTGCTTTGAATAAAACATAATATGATCAAAATACATTATATAAATTATATCTGAATATAATCAAATATAGTCACCTGCTTTGAATGTTATAATTATTGTAAGTAGATATGTGTATACTATAAATTTACAATATCATAATGCCATTGTGTGATAAGTTTCAAGCAGAGGACTTAAAATGTATACAGTTGTAAGACAGGAAAGGTGGAAAAGCAAATAATTGCAGATTTTGCAGGAATGTAATGACATAAACTTTCATATATGAAGTAACATTAGGTATATGCATAACTGTTTTAAAGGTATCATATTAATGTTATAAAGCATGCATGTTTGTTGATTTTGACAATTGTAAATAAGAATCTCTAATTGCAAAGGTTAAATTAAGCTATTTAGTATTTTGATAATAGTCATACTTCATTTTGCCTTAGGGTTATAGATTTTCATTTTCAGCAAATACCCCTTTTTTGAGACAAATTTCACCCATTTTAAATATATTACATTTAATCCTTTACATCTCAGCAAAGCATATAATTTCTTGGAATACCTCCTATGTTGATCCCAGTATGAAACTACCTAGTTAGTTATACAATAGAAATTTAATATTTTAATCTTTTGATAATTTGTTTTGTTTTGTTTTCATATTTCTTTATTGTCTTTCCATATATTTATGAAAATACAGTGTGATTTCCACCAGTCTATAGAGCTTATGTAATAATAATTTTTCAGCCTACTGGCACATGGACCGAGACAGGGACTACTGGCTCCTAAGTGAGAGCGTGTTGGCAAGCTGGGTCAAGAGAGGTCGGAAAGCTGTGGGTAACACAAGCGTAGTCAAAAGAGGTCATTTAGGGTCAGGCAGCCAGAGCCCAGTTCTTGAGATGTCACCTACGGCTGTGTTGCCTGAGAAACCGGAATCACATATACAAGCCTTTCCTGAGGTAGTAGTTTTGTAAATGTTCAGTTGATTGTTCGTAATATACATCTGAAAATTTTAGACTATGATCTGTAAATAAAAGGTAAATGATAAGGAAATTTTCTCAATGTTCAGCAAGAAGATATTTTGAACAAAAAATGTCTCTTTCTTCTGTCCAACATTACCAAATAAAAGGTAAATGATTAGGAAACTTTCTCATTGTTCAGCAAGAAGATATTTTGAACAAAAGATGTGTTTTCTTTCTGTCCAACATTACCAATAACCACCAGTCTTTATTTAAGTGCTTATTTAACCATCCATTAAAATGACTGTAGCACAATGTGAAATAATTAATATTTTCATTAAGGGATAGCTTACTTTTCTCTTGGTATCATCTATCTATTATTGCAAGTTTCTAAGTAAAGATTTTGTTTTTCTTGTCTTTTTGACTTCAGTTACTGTTTGGCAGAAATTTCACAAACTTTCAAATTCTGTTATAGCTGCGACTTGTATTTTTTATTACTCTTATAAAGGAACTTTTTTACTTATAATTTTTGGGTATTTTATAGATTTTTTTATACCCTGTCATTGGTTCTCTAATGACAAAATTTGTTTCCTCACCATTTTTCCTACAGTCTTCAAGCATATGCATTTTGACGTTGGCTAAGATAAGAGTGGGAAAGGTTTTAGCATTGGAGACGACAGCCATACACTACAAAAGAGGACTCGTCTTCTGTGGCACAAGTCAAGGTTAATTAATTTTTTAAATTTGTCTGGTATATCATATTTAGCCTAATTGAATATAGTCTTTGAAGACCAAATAAAGGCAGATAATGGCAAACAGGTGTGCACATGCGAATGCACATGTGCACACACACACACACACACACACACACACACACACACACACACACACACACACACACACACACACACACACACACACACACATACACATACACACACACACACACATACACACACACACACGTACACACACACACGTACACACACACACATACACACACACACACACACACACACACACACACACACACACACACACACACACACACACACACACACACACACACACACAGATATATATTTATGTGAATATATGGCTTAACCCAAATCCGATGGGCATGGCATGCACATACATTCCATGCCCACTGTGAGTTTTCTTTATTAATTGTTTTTACACATAGATTGCTCCACTTGTACTAAGTCACCAGTGAGCCAATTATGAGTACTACCTGTCTCACCTATTTTCCCATTTCCTTGATTTTCAAAAATATTTTATGTTATCTTATATTGCTGTTAACAATGTCAACAACATTATAGTAATTATAATGTATGTAATAAAAACAACACTATCAATATTCATAGCA